TTAGATCAAACTGTGATTTCATTGCGGACTGGAACCTTTTAGATCAAAATATTAGAAATTCGTCTTGTTTATCTAATTTTAAACGTGCTGTTTTTAAATTTTTTAAATCAATATAGAACGAACTTAACTTTTAATATAGTCTACTTTTTTCTATATAAAATAGAACTCTTAACTTTTTTATATAATAATATACGGAATGTAATATACAGAGCCCTGCTGAAAAGCACTTGAGTAGTGATGTAGGCTGTCTGTTATAAATAAAGTTGTTATTATTATTATTAGATACACAATATCTCCACAAATCACTTTTAAAAATACTTTTAAAATGCTTTGATTGCTTTGAAATTTGAATAGATTTGCGAATTGCGATTGCTCCTACTTTCACAGCGTAATACACATGACATATTAATATGATACATCATGCCAATCATGGTAGCTATGAGACGCGAGCTTCCGGTTTATATTCTGACTTACTATTGGTCCACAAAGGAGCGAACCTCTGCGTAGACAACAGCAGTAGACGGCTCTCATTGGTTAAGCGTGATCCATGACGAAGCTCCAGTATAATCTGATTTGTGGACGCAATTTGAGCAAGTAACAGAGGCCCCGCGCTTTTTTAATATGAGGGGCCTTGCAAATTTTTGGGGGCTTTTTTTCACGCGGTGTCACTTTGTCATGTTTACGTAAATTTTTAAATAAATTCATGTTTACGTAAATTTTTAAAATACGTAATTTTTCGCAAATTTGCAAGCCCCGCTCTGGCCTACGCGTTTATTCCTCACTAACTTCTTGACAAAGGGCCTTCGCTCGAAACGTCGAAGATTGTATGGTCACGTGGATTTCCCGAGAAATCGTGGGACGCATTCTGATTGGTCGGCTTATAATTATGCCAAATTAATTAAAATTTCAGAATATTTGATTTTGATTCCTCGTCTTGACCATTATATACATCAGCAGCATTCAGTCCTAACGACTTCAAATACGCGACTTGATCGAGCATGAGAGACACCAAAGGACATATGATAATCGCAATGCTGCTTCCAACGACTTGTTCGTCGAGGAGATCAGCAAGGAGAGGAACCGCTTGAAACACTAAAGATTTAATACCGTAACCTGTGCCAGCACTAAAGAATATATTCTTTCCGAGGAAGAACGCTTTGAGTGCCTCTATTTGCTCTCGGTGAAGACTTTCCACTTGAAAAAAACAGCATACAATACGGATTGCCTCTGAAAAATGCTCTCCTTCAAGCAAGGATGGTTCAATGAACGACGCCATGTTGTTTGAAAAACTTTTGAAATATGATCAAATATTCTGAAATTTTAATTAATTTGGCATAATTATAAGCCGACCAATCAGAATGCGTCCCACGATTTCTCGGGAAATCCACGTGACCATACAAGCTTTCTGTCGCTGATTAGCAGACTATATATGAACCCAATATAAATAGTCTGCGATGCAGGCTAGCCCCCCCCTCAGAAGATTAGAATTGGCCGCCCATATCATTATAAACAAGTATAAAACTGCCAGAATATTTTTGTTTAATTAAACTTGTAGAAACATGAGTGTCGCTGGACGACTTTCTGAAAGGTTTGAAAGTTGCTATACAATAGATAACAATTAAGTGTTTTGAGTAGTTTTGACATCGATCGTAGTACAGAGGTTGGGTGGGACAGTCCACGCACTGGCCACGCGATCATGCCGCAGGCTATTGTACATAGGGAGCCTCCTTAATACTGATACTAGTAATCAAAATGACGTGTACGTCGATCACGTCGTAAAACATGACGTCGAAACGACGTTGATTCTTCGACGTCGATGACACGTCGTAAAATATGACGTCGAAACGACGTTGCTTCTTCGACGTTGATGACACGTCGTAAAATATGACGTCGAAACGACGTTGATTTTTCGACGTCGATGACACGTCGTAAAATATGACGTCGAAACAACGTGGTTATTTTCGACGTTGTTAACACATCATAAACAGACGTCGAAATGACGTTGTTTTTCCAACGTTACGTCGATGACACGTCGTAAAATATGACGTCGAAACAACGTGGTTATTTTCGACGTTGTTAACACATCATCGAAACGACGTCGAAATGACGTTGTTTTTCCAACGTTGTCAACACGTCGTCAAAATGACGTCGAAACGACGTTGATATTTGGTCGATCGACGTACCGACCACATTTCAACCAAATTTCGACGTCGAAACGACGTCGTGTGCCCACTGGGTATAAGCTTCAATTTAAGGTAAAATTTAAATACAAACGCTTCGCAAAACGTTTTAAAGTGTTCCTTTAATTAATATGAAACTAAAACCGGAATCGCAGGGCCGATTCCTGCCAAGGACCTACAGTTGCATTTTTCACAGTTGTTACTGGTTAGGTCTAATAAATGTATATAAATTTCCACTCGATAATCTACAAGATCCTTCAATCTGAAGAAGCGCCTTCCAAGACTACTCTCTGCTTTATACAAGTGAGACAACTCTGGATCCAGGACAAGAGTGGTCCAGCAATATTACGAGACTGACGTTTCATGAGCAAAAAATTATGGGCACGTTCTCAAATGCTTTGCATAAATCAAGATACACCACCTCCACCTCTTTTTCTCTTGCGATAGAATTTATATTATCGTGATAAACCTCTACATGTTGTGTTACTGTTGAGCGACGGTTCATCTGTTGATGCTTACTGCAGCGATTAAATGCTCAGCGCTCGAATACTTTAGAGGTCTATAACTGGAGATTGGTCTATAATCTAGAGATTGGTCTATAACTGGAGGAGATCACTGGGTCAACAATTTTGAAAATCAGTGAAAGATTTGTTAACCTCAATTATGTAGGCAGATCCCCATGGGATAACGAGACGTTAAATAACTTGCATAGGGATGGTGAAGTTTCACCCGAAACATTCAATAGAACTCTGTTCGTATTCCATCCGGGCCACAAGCCTTGCTGGGTTGAAACTGTGTAGCACCTTAGTAACTTCACTTTCTGTCAATTGAATATGAGAAATTATGTCGCAGGACCTGACACCCCTTTGGCCGGAAAAATCTGTTGTTTGAGACAGCAATTCATGTTGTTCGGGTGTAGTATGCACGGAGTGAAGGTATTTGTTTAATACATCTGCTTTAGCTTCATTATCTGCTACAAACTGTTGACCATCATTAAGAAATTTTGGTTTTGAAGTATTTTTGTAGAAGATTTTATAGCAAGCAAAATCGTTTAGGATTTTCCAATAGAGAGTCCTTAATATTATTTTGATAGATAGATATTTATTTGCCCACAAAACGATATATATATATATATATATATATATATATATATATATATATATATATATATATATATATATATATATATATATATATAGGATACAAAGCATATGAGAATTTAATAATATAAAGGGCTAGGGACTTTTGGAAATCCAATTGGACTTTTACGTAATATATATATATATATATATATATATATATACAAAGCATATGAGAATTTAATAATATAAAGGGCTAGGGACTTTTGGAAATCCAATTGGACTTTTACGTAAGGCCCCTATTTTTCAATAACCATGAATAAAGAGCAATATACCATTTACAACAGAAATAGTAGTGAAATGACAAAAGAGATAATTATAGTTCAGAGTAATTTACAATATTTACATCAATCAGAAACTAAATAATATAATTTTGCTTTTTTCTTAAAAGAGAGATATGAATTAGTATTTTTGATATCTTCGTTAATACTATTCCATAGAGAGACGCCTTTGTTGAAGACAGTGTAACTTGGTGAAATTACGTGTATTATAGCTGTGAAATTCATTATTTTGCTTAAAGTAATTACTATAGAAAAAGATAAAGAGCAGAGCCCAGCAAATAACTTTAAATCCAAACATAATAAAGGTAAAATATTTATTAGCTAACGTTTCGTTGTTTACAATACAACATCTTCAGAGCAATCTGAAAGAATTTACAGGGTATGGTATATATATTTACAAAATAATGGTTTAATATTACAAAAACGGTTACATAGTTTGGAAGAACAAATCAATAGAAAGAAAGGAAAACAACTTATCAGTGACTACTTAATAAGTAAAGATTAATGTATGGTTAGTATAGTTGAGGTTAATATTACATAACTAAAATAACTGAAGAGGGGTAGATCTAATATTAGCATTAAGGACAGGGTTAAGTTGAGATATTAATAGGCTTTCACGGATAAGAAGATCCCACCCAGAAGTGCCTGATGATAGGATTTTGAAATCAGAAGCGGAGACTTGGTGTTTGTGCATGTAATTGCCACAATTACCATAGAAGTCTGGTAAATTTTGACAAAAATTAAAACGATACATGAATATACTACATAGATAGTCATTAATTTTGTAGATAGTCAGAATTTTCAAGTCCAAAAATAATGGTTCGGAGTGATTCGTATAAGATTTGAAGCAAATCAATCGAACAATTTTCTTTTGGACATTCATTAACTTTTGCAATCTTGTGGGATATATTTTTCCCAAACTAGATTTCCGTACGTGAGGTATGGATAAGCTAATGCATAGTAAATTAATTTTAAGGTGTTTCTATTCGTGGTGTTTATAACACCTAAGAACTTTATAAATAGGACTTGCTTAAGGAAATCATTATTTATTTTCAATGTGACTTCCATATTCAATAACTTATATTTTTATTTAAAAATTACAAATTTAGTTTTAGAAGAGTTAATCGATAATTTATTTGCATTGAGCCATTTCACTACTTTGTTCATTTCATTCTGCATAGTACTAGATAAAGTTTTCAAGCACGAGTTTGAATAGAAAGCATTCGTATCATCTGCATATAATACAAAAGAAAGAATATCACTACAGTTTTCGATGTCGTTTATATATAAAAGAAATAGCAATGGACCAAGAATTGAACCCTATGGGTCTCCTGTAGTAACATTCATTTCAAATTTGATGTTTAAATTTCACAATTTGAGTTCGTCCATGCAAATAGTCCTTAAACCATTCAAGACAAATTCCCCTGATTCTATATGTTGTAGCTTTTTAAAAATAATTTCAAAGTTGACAGCATCAAAAGCTTTGGAAAGGTCAAGGAAAACACCCATTGTGTATTTTCCTTCATCAGTAGTAATATAGGTACCGTTCGACCCTTATTTTTGTGGTGGAGTGTGGTGGAGTGAGTGTGGTGGAGGTGGTGAAGTGTGGTGGAGGGAGGGTGCGTAATAACGTCACTCATCATTAACATACGGCATAATTATATACAATGACGTCAAGCGGGCGAGTTTAAACAAGATCGGTTGAAACTTGCTGACTAAACATTTTTTAGCGTCCCACACGTGTGTTGAATAGTTTGTGTCCCTCGCATGGCAAAATTGTTATCGAAATTAATATATAGCAGAGTTATAGCCGTATCTTTGCTCGGAAGAGAAGGATTTTTTGTATGTTCCATAGCGAGGAATCTGTTCGTCACAAAAATCAAGACATATTCTAAACTAAACAGTTCATAATTCCGAGTTGTCAACGTCGTTGTTATGGTCAATATTTGCATGTTGTTCAAGATTATTTAGCAATCCTCCTACATACATATATACTGTTAAGATGATCATAAGAAAGCTTATCAAGAGTAGAAGTTAGAATTAGAACAGTTGTAATATTTTTTGACACTATCGACTGTTATTTGTATCAATAAACATGTTTTAAACTTTGCAAACGTTGCGTTGTTATGCGTTGCTAAGTCATTAGGAGGCGTGTAGGTAATTAAGGGGATTAAGGTAATACGAATTTGCATAACTAAGTGTATCCCGATGGATAGATAGGGATTATTTTTTAACGCAGGTGTATACCTTAAAATCAGGCGCGTGGCTTTGCGGGTACATGCATATATTAAAGTACAACATATTTGTACACGGAACTTTTCGCGTGGGCGGAAAGAGCGGGCTTTGCCGGCAAAAAATTACACAATATTTCAGTTTTTAAACACATTTACTTCTTCAAAATTAATGTTTTACAAAATTTAGTAAGGTCTACTTCTAAGAGCGTAACGTCTAGGTGTTTTTGTTATTTTTAAAGAGTTCTCATATTTTTGTCTATCTTCTGGGGATAACTTTGCAATTTTTTCCGGCTTCATTGGAATATATTTCGGTCTATCGCTCAATATAAAACGTTCATAATCCTCTCTTGCTTCCGGAGTCATTCGTGCTAGGTCACGTTCGGTCCAATCTGCTGGGTCGACCCAATTGTGAAAAAAATTGTGCTTGAGTTATGGCCGTTCC